CGCTTGGTCTGACTCTATGTGTCTTAAACTTAATCCTTCTAAGTTTGAATTAATTTGTTTTAATAAATCTAACACTCTATTACTATTCCTCCTATTATCTTACCTGATTCTAAAACTCTTGATGTCTCTCATAAGTTTCGTAGTCTAGGTTTTATCTTTGATTCTACTATGTCTCTCTCTTCTCAGATTAATAGTGTTGCTAGAAGCTCTTACTTTCATCTACGTAGAATAAAAAAACTTTTGTCTTTTCTTGATGATCCTACTCTTCTCCTTTTTGTTACTTCGTTAGTCTTATCTAGGATTGATTATTGTAACTCGCTCTACTATGGTCTTCCTGACTCTATACTCTATTATTTATGTAAAGCTTTTAACTTTGCTGCTCGTCTAGTTGCTCGTGCCCCTTTCTTTTCTCATATATCTCCATATCTTGTTCTCTTGCACTGGCTACCTATAAAATATAGAATAACTTTTTAAAATTTGCACGTTTATGTATAAGTCTCAATCTAAATTATTTTCTAAGTATTTATCAGATATATTAATTGAACCTAAACGCCCCGGTTTACGATCGTCTTCTTCTTGTCGCTTCTTCTTAACTCGTGTTAAACACTCGTTTGCCAAATCTCCTTTTGCTTTTTCTGGTCCTTTTCTCTGGAACTCTCTACCTACTTCTCTGACTACTTCTCCATCACTTGCGAAGTTCAGAGTGGATCTCAAGACCCATCTGTTTTCAAAATTCATTGAGGAGCGCTGTTGAACATCGCGGAAATAGCGCTTTATAAGGGAATTGATTGATTGATTGATTGAACCTAAACGCCCCGGTTTACGATCGTCTTCTTCTTCTCGCTTTTTCTTAACTCGTGTAAGACACTCTTTTGCCAAATATGCTTTTGCTTTTTTTAGTCCTTTTCTCTGGAACTTTCTACCTACTTCTCTGACTACTTCTCCATCACTTGCGAAGTTCAGAGTGGATCTCAAGACCTATCTGTTTTCAAAATTCATTGAGGAGCGCTGTTAACATCGCCGAAAAAGCGCTTTATTGATTGATTGATTGATTGATTGATTGATTGATTGATTGATTGATTGATTGATTGATTGATTGATTGATTGATTGATTGATTGATTGATTGATTGATTGATTGATTGATTGATTGATTGATTGATTGATTGATTGATTGATTGATTGATTGATTGA